CGGTCCGGTCTGGTGTGGTTCGAGCACTTAGACTAGATTCAGATAAACGTGGTTGAAATTAACTGACTCCTGAGTCGGAAACCCTGCACTTCTCAGGCTTTTACTTTAACCCGGAGAAAAGGAAACTATGAATGCATAGTAGACCTATCCCAGGTGACCTTGCTGGGCGAGGATGGTCTGAGTAAGGATTCCGTCGATGACGACAAATGCAGGCAGATGAAAGAGTCCGTCTTGCAGGGCTTCAAGGACTTCTGTACCACCAGGGGGGGCTGCCTGGACGAGGACTTGTTCGCCCACATCAAGCAGGTCATCGTGGCTTGGGCTAGTGACAGGTGCCCTGCGGTCATGAAGGCCGCAAGAATGCTGAGGGAGGACTGCCCGAACTTGGACTTTGTCTACAAGGACCCATGTCACGTTCTCCGGACGGTCGCTGGACTGGTCCAGACGGCCTTCGAGAAGGCCGAGGCCGTCCTTTTCGAGGACAGACACAGTGTGGTCCCCTCGGTCATGAACTCCCACGAGTGGCAGGACAAGTTTGTGTGGCTCCAGAAAGTGGTCTTGGAGCACGGCCGCTTCGCTGGGGCGCTCAAGGTTGCGGTGCGACACTTCAACTTTGTGCGGCCTCGGTGGGAGTCCACAGCCTGCCCTCGCCGGCGCATGGCCCACCTCGTCGTCCCCACGGCCTTGGTCCTGGCCTTGACTGCGGCGGACCAACGGACGGACTCTGCGACGAAGCGAAGGCCAGTACGGTTGTCCGTTTCCTTGCTGTCCGGTGAAAGTAGCCCCTGTGTCCTCTAACTTTCTTGGACAGGATGTTGAGCTTGCTGGACTCGTTTCGGCCTGGGCTGTTCCTCGAGCTGGGCCTCTCTGCGGATTGGGGCGAGGAATTCATCAAGCTCATCCGGACTTTGGAGCCGGAATCGTACGACCCGGCAAACCTGGCCGACGATCTCAGGAGTTGGTTTGGGCGGCAGAGGGCTCTGTTCCAGGACTTGAAAGTCTTGGACGAGCTGGACGATGTACCAGAGAAGCAAAGCTGCACATGGCACGTCGTCAAGAATGCCATGTCCTGCCCACCGCTGACAGTGGGGGGCCGATCTTTCCAGCTCTGGTCTTCGGCCCGCGGGGACAAAGAGGTCTTTCAGGCCACGGCGGAAAGGCTGAGCAACCTGGTGGAAGGAGCGATCGAGCGGGTCCAGGCTGAGCTGCTGGACACTCCACAATGTGACTGGCAGTGCATGAGCATGAAGAAGTGGCATGCAAGCCTGGGCATGAACTTGGACGAGGCAGACACCTTCAAGAAGCTTCTCCGGTTTCGGTTTCGCCGCTTGTGTCGTCTGGCACATGTGAATGAGGACAATGGCACTCGGCAGTTTTT